GGAAATCCGTTGAAGTTTACTTCACTTCAGAACATTCATTCACGGATTTGCGCTGTGCAGCGTCTTCACACACATCACACTCACACACACATCTTCACATTCAGTGCGAGGACTGGAATTGGGAACCGCTGATGTAGCCTATTGTAGTAATGTTGTCTCTGGTATTCTGGTCTGTAAGCATATATGCGTTCAGGGGGCGTGGCTTTGGACGGCGATTGCAGGGAGGGTGGGACGTTCACTTTCAGTGCTATCAGGCTAAAGATAGCATTTTCCAAGATCTCCTACTGCACCTTTAAATATTAGGGGAAAAAGCACAATTTTCTAGAGACATCAGTAGTATTGGTATCCGTGACACTCACCTTCAGCCATAAAAACAAGATGCCATTAAACAAATATTAAAAATATACTGTCTTTATGTTGTTTCTACATTAATTTGAAGACGGAATGTGAAATTATTGCAATATAAAAGCATACTTAAAAACTTTAATGTTAGGTGGGATTAATCATGATTAATCGGGAATAATTTCAGATAAAATGTGCGATTAATTAGTTAATTTTTTTAATCAATTGACAGCACTAATAATAAAACAAACTTCATTAAAACTAAAATAATTTCCTCCCCTCAATACATTTTGATTTTAGTGAAGAACATACAGTTTCTGAAACCTCTGGATTCACAAAATGAACTAAGGTAAAAAAAAAGAAAAAAAAAAAGATATAATATTTTTTGCAAGCAAAAGTTTAGAATAGATTTTTTTCAGTTTGTTAAATTAAATCTCTTATGCTCACCAATGCTGAATTTATTTGAACAAAAATACATTAAAAACAGTACTATAGTGAAATATTATTACTATTTAATTACTTTTCTGTGAAGGCAAAGCTGTATTCAGCAACAATTACTCTAGTCTTCAGTGTCACATGATCCTTCAGAAATCATTTTATTGTCAACCAATTGTCTTTAGTAGAAAACCGTTATAATTGTAATAATTTTTCCAACATTACTGTTTTTTTTTTTAAATGTGTTTTCATTAGTTAATTGCAGCCTTGGTGAGCATAACAGACATTCAAAAACTTCAAAAAATGTTAATTATTCTCTCTCTTTCTTGCTCTCTCTGTTTACACAATAGAATAATATATATAATATATATATATATATATATATATATATATATAATGTTAATATTAT